GATATACATTATATAATTTAATATTTCTTTAACAAACTTATTTTTATCCTTCTCTTAAAGAAATACATTGAACCCCATTTTTATAATCACTTTTCAGTTTATTCCACAATCATATTCCCTGAACCGAAGTACATCGGTCCTTCAAGTTTGTTCAAATTCTAGGTTTCACAAACCTCTCAAGTCCTTTAAGATTATCACCATTATCACCATAATCTCACCATTGATGTCATGTCTGTTCTGATAAAAACGACACCAACAGAATAGACTGGACATTTTTAACAAGTGGACTTTATTCTCCAAAAAGGTTATGCAAATTATTAAGAACACCTTTGAAAAACAATAAAAAAACACATTAATCATAAAAGTTTCTATGTGGAAAATTTTCTTTTAGAAATGCCCAATTCTAAAMGCCCTATCCACCCTGAGGTAAAACTAAATTCTGATCCTTAATCATCATACAATAACCACAAGCTGTTTGTAATTTTAATAAAATGTAGAGATCAAAACGGTCAAAACATAAAGATTTACTGTATGTCTTGGTAGAACATAAAAGACATGAGAACAAACCACTACATAGTGTGCGCTTCTAGTGCAGAAAATTATAGAGACGTTAATAGCATGTTAGCCTTTCTTTGCGGGAAAAGAAAGACAGAATATATCAGTTTAGTTTTATATGGGATCTTCTTTTGAGTTAGTTTAACCTATCTAACTTGCGTGTGAATATTGGTTGTAAAAAAAGTGCCACTTTGTGTAGTGTCGGTACGCTTCAGCACAGTTTCAAGCCATTTCCATTAGGCCAGATTCATGGAGCCAGCCCTTTTTTTAGTACCTACTTCATTGCGGTTCCAAACAGTCCCAGTTGACACCAAAATGTGACGTTAGAACACTGTTCGTCACTGATTGGCTAGGGGGTTGAGTCAATGGTTGCATCTAAGCTGCCTTTACAACAACAACTCGAGGCACCATTTTTTCCAATTGTAGCAGCGACATTAGTCATATTTCCATCCAATTTTAATTCACATTTTTTGTGAATTTTTAAAATTTCAGAACTTATTCAGCAAATGTGTTTCCATCTCTCATTTTGCGCATTAACTCTTTTTTGAAAAACCCAAAAAAACCACCTCCACCAACCGCCTAAAACACACCCACTGGAACTGGACTGGAACGTCAGAGGAAAAGCACATGAACTGACCCGTTCCAACACKGACCGTACCGACACTACACTTAGTGGCACTAGTGGAAAAAGGGGCATTATATGCAACTATCAACCAAGTAAGTGCAACTCATGTTAATGAGCAATCTGGAGTGACTCACATGCTAATTTAGTTAAATAACTTAATACAGAATTGTTACTTAATAAGATTAAATAAAGCAACTAGAGTCAATGATCTAAATTTGAATTAGCAAACATTGGCCAGCAATGTGCCAAAATTAAATCATATCTGGGATCATAAACCAATAAATCACAATCTCAAGGAAATCTAAAAAGAAGCTAATGTCTAGTGCAGTGGRTCATAAACAATGAAGTGCAAATGAAATTCAAATAGTGACTCTTTAACACTTTTTTTACTTCTTAAATCATTAATTTTTGTTAGTCTGTTGTAAAATCTACATTAAAAGTTTACATCTCCTGACACAGTTGATAAAAAAAAGCTCTGATGGTGTGTGTGTGTGTGTAGTGTTGACTAATGCATTCCTGAATGCCTGTGTATGTGTGTCCATTTAAATAGACACAGAAGGGCAGACAGCCTGTCTACAGACCCCAAGATTAGATCAAATGGTATGAATCATCTCTACAGAACAGATATTTATTATGCGGCCATTTCAAAGGTCTATTTCTAATCTGAATCTTAAAAAAAGTTGTGACTCTATTGCAAAAACTTTATCTGTGAARCTTAAARATTGTTACTAGAGATGTAAACAGGCTCATTTTAACTTTCCAATGTTAAGATATAGGTGAAGTCCATAAGTTCAAGGATAAGCCTGGGTTTCCAGAGAAACCACACTTAAAATTAAAAAATATAACATTACATCATTGGTATAACATAACCACAYGTTTTATTTTCAGTGTTGTTCCTAGGGTGCTCAGCTCAAGTTAGCAATTTTATGGACTCATTCACATGCAATAAGACTATAAAATTCAAGATGTGTCAAAAAAAAAAAGCCATGTGTGTTCAATTTCCCAAAACTCAGACATTGGAATGCTTAGTTTAAAAAGAGGGGGAAAAGGAAAGAAAAACATGGGAACTGACGTCAAAGACTGGTACAGAACAGGCAAAAAGCTAAATTTTATGATGATTCTATGAGCAGTTTAAAAAACAAAAAAACACAAGTATTTAAATAAAATGCC